GCCTTCAGATATGTTCCTCAGAAAGCCGTCAAAGGACAAGCTGTGGCAGACTTCCTAGCAGATCATCCCGGAGAGGAGATTGAAAATATGGACTCTCTAGACATAGCAAATGCAGATCTATTGACCAGAGCTCACACCTGCCTCAACAATCCTATCTACTCAGTTCATCTCGCACCTTGGAAGTTATACTTTGATGGATCAAAAACTGATATAACTTCAGGGGCAGGAATTGTCTTGGAAGAACCACTTGGAATCAGACACTGCTATTCTTTCCAATTGGATTTCCAATGCACCAACAACAGGGCAGAATATGAGGCCTTAATAATTGGCTTAGAAATACTGGTAGAACTAGGAATCCAATCTGTGGAAATTCTGGGAGATTCCATGCTAGTTTTGAAACAAATTGCTGGAGAATACAAGTGCCTAAGCCCTTCTTTGGCTGTCTACTTGGTGGCAGCTAGGAATCTTCTGACAGAATTCAGAGAAGCCACTTGGGAACATATCCCAAGGGAAGAAAAGTTTGCGGCCAATGAATTGGCCCAGGTAGCAACAGGTGTACAAATGCCCCAAGACTGTGTACAAAGAATCATCAGGATAGGAAAGAAAAGCCTACCATCTGTTCTGGCCAGAGGGATGGAGATAGATGTCAATTCTGCCACAATCACTGAAGATGATTGGAGAAATCCTATCATGACCTATCTACGATATCCAACTTTGCCCTCTGAGAAGAGAGTCAGAATCATGGCTTTAAACTACCTTATGTGGAATGAAGATTTGGTCCGAAAGAGCAAGGACGAGGTGCTTTTAAGGTGCCTCGGAAAGAAAGAATACATGAAAGTTATGGGGGAAACCCATGAAGGAATCTGTGGAGCACATCAAGGTGGGAGAAAAATGTGCTGGTTAATTAGGAGATATGGCTACTTCTGGCCAACCATAATGAAAGATTGCATTAACTATTCCAAGGGGTGTGAATCTTGTCAAAGACACGGCCCAGTCCAGCAGGCTCCATCAGTTCCCATGAATCCAGTGGTAAAACCATGGCCCTTGAGAGGATGGGCAATGGATCTCATTGGTAAGATCTATCCAGCCAGCAGCCAGCAGCACTGCTTTATCATTGTTGCCACAGACTATTTCACTAAGTGGGTGGAAGCCAAGGCTGTTAAATCTACTACATCTCAAGAGATCATCACTTTCATAGAAGAGCAGATTATCCAAAGATTTGGCATCCCAGAATCAATCACAACTGATAGAGGATCCTCCTTCATATCCGGAGAAATGCTGGACATGGCAGAGGCATTCAAAATCAGACTGCTCCAATCCACTCCTTATTATGCCCAAGCCAATGGACAGGCAGAATCAAGCAACAAAGTGATCATCAACATTATCAGGAAAATGCTTGAGAAAAATCCGAAACAATGGCATGAGAAGCTGTCAGAAACTCTGTGGGCATATAGAACTTCAAAAAGAGAAGCGACTGGCATGACTCCCTATGCGTTAACCTACGGTCATGATGCAATTCTGCCTATGGAGATAGCTGTTCAGTCCCTCAGAATTGCTCACCAACATGACTTAGTAGGAGAAAACTACTCCCAGGCCATGCTGCTGGAACTGGAGGGATTAGATGCAGGCAGAATTGACACTCTCAACAAACTCCGGGCAGGAAAACAGGCTGTATCAAGGGCCTACAACAAGAGAGTCAGGAACAAGAGTTTTGAAGAAGGGGAGATAGTCTGCAAGGCAGTTCTGCCCCTCGGAACCCATGTGGCTAGTTATGGAAAATGGTC